CTAAATTGGTCCTTTTTTTTTTTTTTTTTTACTGACCCCTTATAAAACCACCTATATGGAGAATGAACACTAAAGAGAGAGCAGGAAGTTGAACTTGCAGCAGAACCATTACAGTAGGATCGGGTGTTGGTGTCATGGTGAAGTGTGAAGGCTCAATAGCTAATCAAGCCCTGTCATCCACGCCACCCAAAATGTGGATAAAAATGTGCAAAGAGTTTGCTCAATATTTTTTATTAGTTGTAATCATAAAAAAATCCATACAATGTCATTTGTATATGCAAATAAATGTGGTGTGATGTAGTCCGTTAGATGTAACAGTTGTATATGAAAGTGACTGATTCTGTGATTCTGATTAATGTGGAGATGTATTGCTAATCATGTGGGCTGGTAACGTAGGGTGTAGTTATGTATATCTTGCAACTCTTGAGTGACACAGATGGTCATGTGTGTGTTTCATGTTCTCTAAACTGTCTGAATGTCCTGATGCGAGTCACGTCACTTGCAAATATTGTCCATTTATGGGCAGCTTTAGATGGTCCCGTACCTTTTCCCCAAATGGTAAAATCAGAGACAGAAACCGTACAGCATACTTATCACAGAATGTCATGCTGCTTTTGAAATTCTTTTTTAATGCAGTTGGAATAGTCCTTTCACTTCGAGGCAGCCTCTTCCAAAACAATGTACACTGTTACCCAGCTGTCAGTCATGAATCATGCTTGTGCTGGTCTCCTGGGGATACAGCATTTCTGGTATAGTATTTCTGTAAGAGATGTGATGACAGAAATGTATTAAGATCACACATCTATTAATTGATGGTCACTCACCATGAGTGTAATGTTTTCAGAAGATAATCACACATCTTATAATAATCTGTAACAGTTATACAATATAGAATTAGCACTGTAGTTTTAGGGTGGCACTCAAGGAGCACTCTGACGTGTTGTACTTACTAGAAAAGCTCAGTGTGCATCCCGTGCTGAAAATAAATAACAGCTCAGCAGAGAAATGAATGAGCATCACTGTCCCTACCACACAAGCACAGAGTGCTTCACTTTCCGGGTACTGCATGCATTATCGTGTGCAACCTTTTCATTCTAGAGGATGCTATGGCTGCTATTTCCATACCCTTCCAACTTTTGGAGATGAGAAAGCAGGACACCTTTCAGCATGAAGTGTGTAGGCAAAGGAAACGCCTTACTAAGCCTCCTTTTATGCAGACCATGAAGAATTGATATGCCAAAAATTCTTGGTGAAACCCCCAAGTGGCTTTTTTCTACCACTGTTTCCGTTGTACTGGTGTTTGAAATTAACAAATGCAGGTAGAATGAAAGGGTTTTTTTTTTTATAGAGGTCTATCAAACCAAAAAGAGTGACCTAGGGATTTGGTTCCAAAAATTTGACAGTTGGAAGCAGTTGGACACTTGTATTAGCAGCATATTTATCTTTCAAAGTATTTTAATTTTTCCAGAATAGAATAAAACAATAAGATAGCACATGATGCACAAACAGTATAGCATACAATTGCATTTCAGAGTCTTCCACATTAGCATAGTCAAGTAGTAGGAGGGGATCACTAGAAACCATACACACAATGCATAATAATTCTGTGAAACAGAACATATCTATCCACCTACTCTTGCCAAATTATCCCCCATCAGCAAAAACAAAATCAAGACAGTCTGAGAGGAATATCAGGCAATAGGGATCCACCTGTGTCTGAAGCAAACATTTGTTATGATCTCCTCCATATCTATATAGATAGAAGACTTTCTGTCCAACATCAATGTACTAAACAGCTCA